AATATAGCCATGATCATTAGCAGCCCATTTTGCTTGTAGTGTTTTTCCTGTATGACAAGAAACCTTTTTAAGTTGAAGGGTTTGTTAGAAAGTATGAATCCCTAGCATACAACAAAACAACAACATAATTCGACTTTGCCTACAGATCTAGCGTTGACAGATCCATCAGGATTGTGTGACACTTGTCGATATGAGGTATTTTGAAGTATTAAGTAGATAATCAGCTGTTATTTGCTGTCATAGTTCACAGCGGGTACTCGTAAAAAATAGTACATGAGATTGTTGGTAATGACGAAAATGAGTATTGGGGGAGACATCTATTATGGATTTTCTCCCCGCAGAACAAATCACTGCGTCTTCATTTTTAGTGCCCTAACTTTTCAGATCACCTTGTAGGTGCGATAACAATATCAAATCAAGCAGCAGCATCAAATGTTCGAAATACCGCCGAATGCATAAAGAGTGATGACGCAGAGCGGCGCCTAAACGATATGACGCGTTGCGGCGCAGCCTAGTTGACCGCCATGACAGGAAGACTACGCCAGTGATAAACTAGACGCCCTCCACTTACCTGGTGCACTGTTGCCAGCTTGCTATTTACTTGCTTAATATCAGATATCTGCTGATATGTTGAGTAGCCAAAAAGCACGAAACAGCTGTCCAAGGTTGGCTGTATTTTGGTCGTACGTAGTCATATGGTGACTGGAGTATTAAACTCAAATTGAGATCTTTATAGTTCCAATAAATAGATCTTATGCGCTCTCCGCAGTGGTCGATTTTGGTGATAGATGGCGTTTTGCGCAGTCTCACTTCAATAGACTGTACTTCCTGAAAAGAGGATAGTTGAGATGCTTTCGTTCGTTGTCCCAGAGACGAGAGACCAAGCCTAAACCATGCTGATGGGTAACCAAAAAGCACAAAATAGCTGTCCATAGTTTGCTATCTTTTGGTTGGACGGACGAAAGCATTATGCCTACTTTATTCAATGGCAAGTAGACCACATCAACTATAGAGCCAGAATCGCAAGCTATCTAGCGGTCACATGGTGACTGGAATATTAAACGTGAACTGAGAATCTTTACAATTTCAACAAGTAGCTGCTATATGCTCTCTTGATTTTGGTGATAGACTGATACATAACATAAAGAGAACCTCTAGGAAGCAGAGGTGGCCGCAGTAGTAGACTCTTCGGTCTCCTGATCAGTCGCCGTGCGCTGTGCGGGTTCGAGTCCCGTCCCAGGAGAAATTTTTCTCTTGGCTATGTATGTTGTTATCCGTAGGTGGTAGACGGTCTCTGACTGTCGAACGTGGAGGTACCACCCGGCGGATCTCGTAGGCGGAGCCAGAATGTGTGCATGTTGCATGCACACGTGTTCCCTCGCCAGAGTCCGTGTGGCGTTCCCCCTTTCCCTTGTATCCCCCTATAGCCCCACTGTACCCAATGGGTGTTTAGGCCTTAGGCCTTCGTGGTAGTTGGAGTATAAAGAAAGCTAGTTTTTTGGTAATTATTTATCCACTGTCATATGGGAAAAGATCAATGTGCATTTCAAAACACTGACTGATTCGTGTACTACTACTGTGTCAGTCCAGTTACTTAACGAATACTTCATATACTAAGTGACATATAAATCCGAACACCCAGTTTAAATGGTTTTATTTTAATAAAATTTTGTATAAGTACTTAATGAAGCATAATAAGTAAATGATAAAAATTTCAAAATGATTGCACTGCTTTAAAGCCCTTTGACCTTTAATAATGTGTGGATGCACCCTGATGTGCTACGCATTCTCCAACGCGCCTAGGCATACTTCTGATCAGGTGGTCAATGTCCTCCTGTGGTATCTCATTCCAGGCAACCACCAACTCCGCTCGAAGTACTTCTAGAGTCTGAGGAGGACGTTGCAAATTGAGCAATCTCCTACCCATCATATCCCACACGTGCTCAATTGGGGATAAGTCGGGAGATCTTGGTGGCCATGGTAACAATGTGACATCATTATGTTGAAAGAAGTCTATTGTGACTCTTGCAACATGTGGTCGGGCATTATCTTGTTGGAAAGTTGGATCTGCCAGGGTGTCAAGATAGGGTAAAAGATGGCGTTCTAGAGCTTCGTGGATATAACGGTGCGCGTTCATGTTACCTCTGATGAAGATTAAAGGTGACCTGGAACCATAAGCTATAGCACTCCAAACCATAACTCCAACAGTGTGATGAACATGTCTTTCAACAAAAAACTGTGGATTCCTCCTTTCACCACGTCGCCTTCTAACCCTGGCACGACCATCGTCCATGCCTAAACAAAATCGAGACTCGTCACTAGAGACAATACTGTTCCATTCCTGATCCCAGAGTGACCGTTGTCTGCACCACGCAAGGCGATTACGTCGGTATTCTCGAGTTAAAGGGAAGACCCAGTGTGGCCGGTATGAAAACAAGCCAAAACTTCTCATTCGTCGGTAAACACTTCGCATGCCAATAGGTCTTCCGTGTTCTGCAAACCATTCATTTGCAATGAACCTGGTAGTGGAGAAACGGTCCCTTAAGGCCAATAATCTTAGGCGGCGATCTTCACGGTCTGTTGTTCTACGGCGGCGTCCAGTGCCCCTTGCTCTTTGCGTACGGCCTTCTCGAAGCCATGCCTGACAACACCTAACCACAGTGTCTACACTTCTTTGCACTCTAACTGCAATTGCCCGAAAAGAAAGTCCAGCTTCCCGAAGTCCCACTATACGGCCCCTATCAAACTCACTAAGTTGACGAAATCGTAGAGGTCTCCGTACTCTAGGCATCGTAACCGATCGTAAAGGATGTCAAGAACCAAAATCCGCCAACGTTGATTCTTTACTGCGGCTGAAATATTCATTTTTAGAGCGTTAGTGAATTAAAAAAAAGCAGTATAAAAACCGGAATGTCCAACTGATAAGGCTGAAAATTTTTCACTTGTTATTTACAGTAAGATAAATACATTCACCAACTTTTATTAAAATAAAACCATTTAAACTGGGTGTTAGGATTTTTTATGTCACTTAGTATATATATCCATAATGGTTTGCATAAAAAAGTGCACTGAACCAGAGGAGATACTTCTATCCATCATTAAAGCGGAAAATATAGACATCATTGCACCACTGTTAGTGAAAATAGTAAACATCAGTTCTAAAAGGAATATTTACCGTCATCATTCAAATTAGCTACTGATCATAAGATAGGTAATCTTTGTAATGTAGAAAATGACAGACTTATAGCTCCGCTGAGCATTTTTTCTAAAATCATTGAGAAAGCATTTTTATTAGTCGCATAATTTTCGGTTAAAAATGAATAAAACATATTTCTCTTCATGGTGACCTTGCCATATTAAAAATATATCGTTATGATCATGCAGATAAACACGGTTTAAATTTCTTTAAGCAAAAACCGTGCATCGGATTGAAAAGATCAAGCAATCAAATTAGCCTACAAATGATTCGGTATTTCAAAAATATTTTTTATTTTAAGAGAAATCAGTGCCGTACCATCAATGTCTCCAAAAAGATAGGCAGGCGAAATTCCGTGCGAACGCCACCGATGGGAATTGAAAAAACATGGTACATTAAAAAATGATACATAGTACATGTGTGCTAAATTTCATTAAAGTATTTAAGCTGATCTTACAGATATTAAGAATGAACGATTCATTTTACTCAACTACACCTCAAAAGTTAAGACGTTCAGGACATACGTTTATATGAAGCTTTCTTCTTAAAGTGGACCCATAAATAACCACTTAAATATTGACACTCAATCAAGCCGACTGTGAGTCCAGAAACAAATATAACGAAGCAGTTCATAATGCCAAAGACCAGCACGAAAAGTTAGGCACAGGGTAATGTCACAGCACGATAGCAGTCGGTCTTTTTGAACGCTGCCCAAGCAGATTAAAAGGAACTTTTCACCACTTACGTCTCAGGATGGAACGATTATAACCGACTCAAAACTGCGAAGACGTTGATGGATTAGACAGATAAAATTGAATACGGAAGATAGGCAATTGAAACTCAAAAACACATAAAAGAAAAAGCGCAATCCAATTCGTCCATCTTGATATTCTAAGGTGCTTTAAATGATTTTGGTTAAATTTTCGGTGATGCATCGGCAAATGCCATATTTCACCACACTTAACAAAATTTGCTAAAGCGTTGCTGGGATTCTTTCAGAGAAACGAATTTTCAATAAAAGTTTGACACTCTGTATCTTAAAAATGGAGCTAGCGTACATTTCCGCGCCCATATTTCTGTGATTTTTCCTATAATCACCGAACGAAGCACCGCTGGATGAATGACCGGTACTTTGTTAATGTGTTTATTTAAAAAAATAACTTAGGTGCTATAATATATAACCATATTAGGAATCTACTAAATAATTGATACGGCGTCCACCGTAACTCGAAGATCCCGTAATTTATGTACCTGCCAACCATCGTAAGGGTTACTTTTTCTATCATAAAGCGGAGGAACAACGCCGAAAATGTCAGTACTTCCTTAAATTTCAAGTTATCGAAATAATTCTTTCAGATTCGTGAAAGATGTAAATTATTCTATTACACGCAAGTGGCACTAGCAGTATTTTAAACTATATTAAACTTCCTAATTATCATAAGGTTGATTTTTTTTATATCTAGCAATGCTCAGTCGAGGTTGTATAAATATCGCCTCATTTCGCTCAGTTAAAACCGACTCATTATTTTAATGCGGTTTATCTGTGTCGATGAATTTTTCGCAAGTGTTTATGCCATTTTGTCGCTCTAGAGCGGGAATTATTTCTGATATCCTAAGGTTGGGTACCAAAATGGAAGAGAGTAACATAAGACATCGTATAACACTTCTAACGTTAGCGCTGTCGCACGATGTGACATGCTACTCTCTTCCGTTTTGGTATCTGACTATAAACATCAGAAGATCTTACTATTTTGATGTGATTTCGGCAACCTCGCACTTCCGATTTACCTGTCAGCCGCCTACCAGCAGAGAGAGAATTCCCATCGGAGGCCATCCCTCCCTCCCCGTCAAGCCCCTGACAGCCGGGCGACATTGCCTTCCCCCCCTCTCCGGACACTTCCCCCTTTGCCATATATAAGGCCATGGCCGACCATACCGTGGCTCATTTCGCTGTCATCGTTTGCTGGTTTAATATCGTCGCGAATCTTATCCAGTTGTTGTTTTTGAACACCGATCGAGTCACTGCGAACACGTAGTACCGTGGTCACTCCCAGTGTTACAGTGAAGTACGAACTTTTTTTGGAATATCTCAGCCTTGAGGAGTTACAGCAGGAGATAACATTTCACGTGAGTAGTTACAAGGATTACTGCCTGATTTATTAATCTTAGAACTTCTTTAGCTCTTATGTTAACTTAAACTTAACTTAAAATCAATTTCATAACTACATATAACGTGTATATGACACTGCCAAAGGATTTGCTTGGTGTCTACCATCTACATTATCAGATTTTAAATTGCTCTTCAATGCAAACCACACTGAATTAATAAACATTGACATTGCTTTGAAAATGTGTATATCATAATTAAAACATCGCCTATGTAATATTACATTAGAACATAAATGTAAACTCATTCAACCATAAAATTGTGACATATGCACATATATGATTATAGAAGTGCATTGCTACAAAAGAGAAATCGATGTGTTAATAACATATCAATTAAAATAAAATACAAGACCATAAAAATGATTCATTGAATAACTAACTAGTAGGCTATGCCTGTTGAAGAAAGATAGATAAGAAACCGAAGAGGTTTTAACGGGTTTGAACTAAAGGCGTGGAAGGAAGTTCATTGATCTAGGGAATGTTATTTGTCAACTAGATATGTAGTATAAATAAGAAAATGTTAAACACTGAGCTACAGATCTCTACAAAGTCTATGGGAGGAATAGTTGAGAACATGAAAGTTTTTCTTCCTTGTTGGGCTGGAATTCACAGAATTGCAGAACATCATTAAATATATTAGTTTGGGTTTTTCAGAAACCAACCATTACAGTGGACTATGAGATCCACAAGAAATCAGTTAAGGCCTATTACAAAGATACAATTTATAATAATGAACATAAGATTCTATTGCATAGAATCGAAATTTTTCTCACTGCTTCTATATGTAATTATTTAAACGTTACAAAAACAGAAACAAAAGATGATGATACCTTGTAAGCATAGTCAATTTGGTGAATAGTAAAAAAGAGAGTTGTGAATGAACTGATGGTCGATTTTGAGAAATCGCTTGAGATGCAAAGTTTCTTACAGGAAGGACATGTCTCCAATAAAAGCTACCTAAGCAGAATATAAATGAGATACTATGCAAATTGTATATTGTCCTGACAAGAATTCTAAACTGCCTATCTCAGTGTAGTGCATGAAAGTTTTACAACAGGATATTCACAAAATGGGCGCTAGTTTCAGTACTGGTGACTTTACGCCATGATTCAAGGGATAATTGATTAAATTTGAGCTAATTCAATGTATTGTAAACAAAAACAGACACTATACTATATACAAACTTGAAAGGAGGTTTTGGCTGAACTTAATTCATAAATTCATTCATATTCTTTCTACCTTTAAATACCTGACCAACAAAATGCTATTTTCGGAAAAAGCATTGAATTTTAGATTGACTAACTGTTGCCTCAGAGAAGTGGAATCTATTTCAATAACAAAACCTATTTAAAACAGATATGAATTTTATTACGAATATGGGGTATGACAGTTATCATCTAGTTGGAAAAAGGAGATTCTAAATGAATGTTTTTATTTTCAGATTTCACGTAGTAAACATCCATAGTATCAAAATGAAGGTATTAATGAATTCAGAAGTCTGCCAGACAGAAAGCGCCGTTACGAACGGCAAAATATGTAAGAAGAAGGACATAGAAAATGAAGAAATCCAAATGTACCTAGCAAAACTGAAAGATCTTGTTCCATTCATGCCGAAAAATAAGAAGCTGAGCAAACTAGAAGTTATCCAGTATGTAATAGACTACATTTGCGATCTTCAGAACGCATTGGAGACACATTCAGCTGTCACAGCATTTGATGCAGCGTCGGCAATGTGTCTGAAACAGTCCCAGGGAGCCATCAGTCCCAGGCAACCTTTGGGCGTGAGGCAGAGCCCCAATAGGATATTGACACCCTGCGAGGCGCCACTCATACAGAGTATCACGGTAAGTCATATAATTGCATCATTCTCAAAAAAAAATAATAATAATAAATTGATTAAATGTTAATAAACCTAAACACAGATAAAACAAAATGAATATCAATAGGGAAACATTTAGGTGACAATACAATAATTATTAGGCTCATGATTAATGATGAAAAATCATTGGAATATCTAGGTATATATGTGGATAGTCAACTACTGTCTCAAGATCACAGTGGATACATTATTTCAAAAATATCAAAAAAGATAAATTACCCCTATAAAGTGTCCCATAATCTTCTTATGTAGACCAAAAATTGTTGTATAACACCATAATAATTATTTTTTCCCGTTTTTTATATTGTTTATAGAAAATGAAGATATATTTACAAAATTACAAGTTTTATTAAATACAGCCATGAGATTGTTTAAATAAAAACAAATATGCTAAAAGTAATTCTATCTTAGAATAACTGCAGTGGTTCAATGTTAAAAATAGTATGTTATTTAATCCTCATTTTCATATTCAAATTAAAAAATCATTTATTACTACTACATATTTCAATAATGAAATTAGACAGTATTCGAATTTAAAACATTTAAGGTGAAAGTTAGAAATCACTACATGAATACCCAAAATGCATACAGTTGTAATTTTAATAGACAAGAATGTAAAATTACAGTTTTCAAAATAGATGTTATTATATCAATTGTTTTTGCTCTACATCAAAACAATATATTTAAAAACTTAAGATAAGTCAGTTAGCTCATTATTTTCCATGAAATTTTTGTTTAAAAACCAATCTGACAACGGCATTTAAGGGCACTCGGATTGTCTGCAATGTCCTGTTAATAACATGAATAGTCTCCTGTTGAAAATATATTCATAATTTGTATTTTGAATTCGAATGAAGTAAACTCGTGTCTCAGAATGTCGTGGGATTTGTATACCAGTGATATATTTCTAATTTACACAGAAAATCATACACACAGAAGCCTTTAATGATTTCATTTTCCAGACTCGGAGGAATGATAAAGTTTTCCAACTAAATGACCCCGCATAAGTCGGTTATTTTAAAAATAACATATTGGTACAATCAGTAGATCTGTATACAGAAGTTTCCCACGTTCTGTTAGGAAATAAACACTTTCCGCACCTGCTTTAACTTACGGAGGTCGCTTTCCTGTTTTTTTGGAAGAGATGCACCATAAGGTGTTCAGTGTTCATCAACCACGTTAAATTTGACGCTCACAGCTAATTTTTCCAGGCTATTTCATCTTTAATAATTGAGGTAATCTTTCTGGCATTATATCATTTTTACATGCATGTGAAGATTTCCCATAGAAGTAACGCATACATATGGTGCATGAAGATGCTTAACTATTCCAAATTCCCACGAAAGGTTAGAATAAGAAACCCTTCTACACCTGTCTTGACTAACGGAAGTCTTCTTCCTGGTTCGTTTAGAAAAAATGCACCATAAGGTGTTTCATGATCATCGACCGTGCGGAAGTCTTCTTCCTGGTTCGTTTAGAAAAAATGCACCATAAGGTGTTTCATGATCACCGACCGTGCTATTTTGTTGCTGGTAATGATCTTGTAACCTGTCTTCTGAGTAGGCGTAACTTTGTATACAGGGTGTGACATGTGAAAATATTGTAAACGGCAAATATTGCTTAACCCCCAAAACAGTGTATTTTGTCTGATATTAGCAGAAACCCCAATAAAGTACACTTTTCATTTTGTCTGTTGCGATTAACCATTGGATTCCGACCATATGTATACACCAAAGGAAAGTCCAAATGCTTGAGCTTTTGGCTTTAATGCTATTGCAGTCATTAAGCACGTGTTGGACGATAACAAGGGCATTAAAATTAATCCTTAAAATGTGGATTTTCCCAAACAGGCAAACATCCCATAAATACCAAAACATGTGCCCACCACCAACAACAAATCTGGTTCAACACCAGATGTTGATCAGATGCGCATTTTTTCTTATCAGAATTGGTTGCTATAAAAGCTCCTTATGTTCCGAAGTCTGAGTTATGACAGAAGATCTGTTCATCTGCTGTGTAGTGTTGGTCAACATCTGGTAAATAAACAGGGAGATTTGAATAAAATTTTCTTCTGGAGATTTATTATCTTGGAAATATTCAACTCGTTTTTTTTATATGTACTAGTAGTATAGTATCAGTATATTTATCAGATTAGTTTCATCGTGATAATTGACCATTTGTAATTTGGTGTTCAAATACAATAGGAACACATAATTTTGCTTCTAATAAGTATGCCAAATGCCATAATCCTGGTTTATTTTAAATATTGCTAGATACGAGAATTATGTAAAGGTAATTAAACCATATAGTGATGAGATCTGGCGTTAAAAAACAGACTGAATTACCACACCTGTTGTCATTTTTTTCTCTATTGACATCGTTTTGAATTATAGTTAGTTACGCTTGTTTGTAGCTATTTTGTAATTAAAAGTAAATGAATATATTGTCGTTGACAATTCATTTTGTACATTGCAATTAATTTAAAAGAACACATTGTGAGGGTGGCAGTCTTTACCAAGACCAAGGTCGAATGAAAAGTATTTTGTTTCGCCAAATCTTCGGTGTAAATGCAAGATTTAAAACCAGATACATTGCAAGAACTTTTAACTTCAAAGCAATGCAACTACTATTGGGGGTGCAATTTAAAGTTAAGTAAGTATAAAAAGTTATCAAATAGCAACAAATTGAGTTGTTCGAGTCATATCTTTCATATACATCATAATCATGTAGTATGTAAACGTTCAATCGCCAACAATTTTTATTTATCCGACGATTTCAAATCTATTCCCTGGTCTATTTGTCGCTACTGTATATTCAATGTTGTACTTCATCTGTCGGTTGCTGCATGTGCATGAATGGTGAATAGGGGGCCATTTGTCCAGCCAGGCCGCCACGGAATCATAGTATGGTATGCAGCTGTGAAAATCTGCTGCGCTGACAAGCATAGGGGCCAGTAAAGCACCAGACGCTATATTAGAACATACGACATATAAATTAATTAAGTATATTAGTCTGTAACAAAAAGCCATCTGTGTACGTACCAACGGATGCCACATGGGCTGTCGTTTCAGATGGCTTATCAAATTTTCAAAGCATGCTAGATCGACAAATGGTGGCTTGCAATCGCATTTGATATTCGTTCGATCGGTGTACATCTGTTATGCGCGACTGACACTTTGAAACAAATGGTTGGTTTCTTGGTTATTGGTCATAGTCGATTTAATGAGGGTTTCAGGTCGTATTTTCTTGCATCGATCGGTACATTTGCACATAAAATTGTAGTCGACAGGCTGTCTGTTGACTCTTCACACTGATTAATCAAATTACTAAGGTGCAGCCTATGCAGTTTGGGTATACAAAAATGTTTCCATAAAAAATGTATGGTATTTTGATTTGCTGTAAAAAGTTCTTGAGTGAAAGATATTTCTGATTCTAAAAAATGTTGGCCCTATTAGGAGAAAATAGGTGACCTTTTTCGTCCAAAGTATCTAAAATTGAAAAAAAGTTAATTTGTTATTTTCAGAAATGTCAAAAACTAGACTATCTCAGTTCAAAAAATCTCATACTAAAATACTTAATTGTTTTTTCAATTTGAGTTAAACAGACTTTTTTAACGAGCAAATGTAATAGATGGTTTCATTTTGAAGGTATTTACTCACGCGAGTACCTCATAGTTTTTTTGAATATTTGCAAAAACGTTATATTTCCGAATTTGTCGTTTAATAAAAAAAAGGCACACAACAATTGTTTTTGTATCTCTGTCCCTCAAGAATCCGTCTATGCTGTTCCTTCCACAACAAAGTCGATTTTTGGCTATTTATTCATAAAACGTACATTTTCTTACAGCTTTTAGGGAGATTTTTAACAGATATCAATGATTCTGAGAAACATTTGGCAGTAGCTAGGAAATTTCTATAGAACAATTTCAAACAAAATTACAGCTAGATTCAATTACGACTTTCTCAGGATGAAAAACGTCGGCAGTCTTCTGCCTGGTGTAGAGTACCAACCAAACCTCGGCTTGCTTTCCGGTGTGGCGTCGCTTGTTTTCCCACGGTCTATTGTTGCCTGAGAGTGCAGGTGTGATTTCAGCATTTTATTACCATCAAAATGAAAGTCGCCCAACCATCAGACCGCCACTAGTGTAGAGGAAAACTGAACCCCTCTATGACCATCCACACAGCTGCGTGGAGTGGTTTGTGTGAAACTTTGGCACACATCTGGATGTATGAGCGCATATTACGAGAGAGTATGAAATAGAACATAGGATATACACACATATAGTCCAGTCATAATAAATCAATGATCTTGACGAATTGTTGACATATATTTTGTAGCATTTTAAATATATGTAAAGTTCATTAATTAAGTTGAAAAAATAATATTATTCAAAATCTACTTCCAGACAGTGTTACCAGGTTAACCGATTTTTCGGTAGGTATACCGATTTTAGTTCTACCGAACTACCGATTTTGATATCAAATCTACCGAAAACCTCGAAGTCTTAATATACTTTTGATGTAATTCAACAGAACACCAGAATAGAGCACTCCCTCCTCTCCCCCACTCTATAATTTTTGATTTGATGCACTCTGCGCTATAATGTATAAATAGTAGAATCTCGGCATTTGATTTTAACCCTTCCGCTCTGGAATTTTAGAATTCGGGAGTTTGGTGCCCTGTTCTCTTCAATTTTTTTTAATAGCTGCTTTTCAGCATTTGGTGCTACCCCCTCTTCCCGTCTTCAATTTTCAAAACTGGGTGGAGCTCAAGCAAGGATGCTCCTTCAATTTTCAATCAGCAGCAAGTTTTTGCTTTTTGGCTTAAGTCTATCGAATTTTACCGAGAAATTTCGCACAAATTTACAGAAAACAGACCATACCTGGCAACACTGCTTCCAGAGTTGAATAACCAATTTTCTTGCTTTGGCCATTCGGACTGGCCGGCCAGATCAAAGATCTGATGGTTCCATGTTTGTTCCTTTAGGTCTTCTAGACACTTCGGATCAATCGAAACAAAAACCTGAAGCCCTTTTTTAAAAAAAATTAATCTGTTTCACAAAATTAAACTGTTCATGAAATAGGGCCATTTTTTCGTTTCGAAGATAATGGCAGCCAATTTCTTATATGATTATTTCTAAGCCTAAGTCTACTTGATAAGAATTTTGTCATGGTTTAGTTAAACGCAAAGTACAAATTTTTCATAATATCGACTTACTTTTCGCGACTTACGCACAGGCTAGATGCATTTTCTAAAAACTAGCATAAGCTGGGATTTCTGAAGTTTTATCCTATTTTGCAGATACAAATATTGTTTAAAAATAATAATAATAATAATGACTTTCATTTTGCCATTTATTGGTATATCATAGGAGCTCGCTAGTTACATAAACAGTATGTTACAACGAATATTATACACATGGGGCATCAATCGCAGGGCTGGCTTAGAATTTTCTGGAGGATACCACACTCGATTGTGTTGATGGTCCGAATGCTTTCTAATTTGTGTGATTTGGAGAATGTGAGGATTGGGATTCAATTATAATTTTTTTTTAATTAATTATATTGGTGACTGGCTGTGTGACACCTCGTATTATATGTCAATTGACAGGTCAGCTTATATTCACTTGTACTAAATTAATGTACCTATAATATAAGATAAACGATTTCATGTTAAATATGTATGTATCTATATAATAAACCGGCCGCAAAAGGTTAAAGAAGAACGAAATTTTAAAATATTACATCTAGTTTGACCTCACTATGGAATGAAGCAATTTCGATTGATGGGGGTTTTAACGGTTACCGTGCAGATGTTCAGTCGCACACGTGCACGCTGTATACTCTTATACACCAATCGATCTCTCTTTTCGGCCTTTCACATAAGGAACAGTTGCCTCTTTGATTCCTTCTCCGAAATAACGAATGTATTATGCTGAAGCTCCATTCTCTCATCATCCCAGTGATATTATTTAATAACATGAATGCTCTTATCAGTTGTTGGTCTGTCCAAGTGTTCCAACTCATGTCGGAGGCAATTAAAAGGTCATCTGTCTGGCTTGGAGATTAGACCGTAATAATGGATACTTTAGGTACCTAGCAGCCATTATTATCTGCATAAATAGTACTAACAGGGTCGGACAGTAGAGGTAAAATTGATGGCAAAAGCGTAATTTAGTCCACAAAGTTGAACGCCAAAAATCAAGAACTAGAAGCTAAACTACCCCGGCATTTATGTTGCAACAGTCGCAAAACATTTTGTAATGTGGTGAATGTCTATGTATATGTTGTGGACTTTGACAATTTGCTAATTTTCACGTGGGAAGTAATCAATCCAGTCGACTTTATTGTTTGTATTGGTTGAAATCTATAATGGTGTTTTCGTTTTTTTTTTTTAAAGAACATAGATGCTTAACAGTTTTTCCTTTGTTTCAGAGCCCAGAGACACCTGATAGGCAAGTATCTTGCTGAGAACCTGACACATTGTGCGTTCGTGTTCAACTCATTCCAATTCCCTGACTTTAGTCAAAAAGGGAAACGACTGATTTTCATTTATTTATGAAGAAGTGATGTTTAAATAGGAATATTCCTGATGAACATTTGTTTAGATTTTATCTTCGACCAATCAATTATAATGCGGGAAATGAAAGTGCGGATGAGCTCTCAAGGGAAGGATCATCCACACCCTATATATACATGCCCAGAACCTGCCTTGGAGGTGCCCTAAAGCACAACAAGAAAATCAAGCCAAATAATGGGTAAGAAACCAGCACAAGGAACATTGGCACTTGGTGACTGGATGTAGGCATGGGACCATGTCTCTCAATGAGTAGAAACCAACTCCGTGCAGTTACAGGGCTTATAACAGGACTCAATGGCCTGAAGGAACACCTGAGCAAAATAGGCCTGTACGATGGAGACCTTAGCTGCAGATAATGCTGAAGTGGGTTCTGTAAACTCCAGGAGCAAGGCATAATAAGCCCTAGAGGCTGCACTGCCTTCGGGAACTTTGGTCGGACGGCTTCCGGAAAGGGGAAAAAAGCATTTATAAAAAACGTTAACATTTCAACTTCAGGGTATTTGTTAGGTAACTATTATGGGCGGATTAAAAAGTTTCCGTACTAGTTTTGTAACTCACCAACAGATGGCAGCTCGAGGCTGTGCCTGAATTACCTCACAAAGTGGTGTACGAAATTTCCTGACTGCGATTTCGCGATGAACTAAGAGTTTTAGCAGAGAGCGAACATTGGGACGTCACTACGGAAACCGTAAATATGTATCGGAAAGTTTATGGTGATGAAGGCGATGAACTGTTCTCAAATTTTTGAATAGCATCGGCGATATCAACTGGTAAGAAAGTCCGAACCAAACACTAAATAAAATTGTACAACAAAAGCGATGAGGAAACATGGTACAGTAATTTGTGGGGTTAACAGCTGATTTATGTAGCAGGAACAACCTCGACGTGTGATTTTTTGGCAAGTTGAAGGGAAATATTTTATTCACCCTCATGTTCAGCTTGTCTGACCTCAGTAAAAGAATTTAATTTTATTAAAAATAGCATCGCAAGTTTTTATTTTTAATTTGAAAATAGAGCAAAATGTATATGTTGGTCGAAGATATAAACATCTTTTTAAAAATATGCTTGATGATTTAAAGTTTTTGGTTATATACCGGTTGTAATAGATATACGTTATTCAAATTAATATTTAAATTTACATGATAATAAAAAATGAAATTTTAAGAATTACAAAAGGAAACTTATTCTTGATTCGAAAGTTTATGACTAGATACTCTTAAATCATCGGCATTATTTCTTAATGGTTTTTTAATGATTTTCATTCTGTGATTTTCGTAGTGTATATAAAGATTATAGAGGCTATTAGTATATACGATCACATTACAAAATTTGTATAAGAGTGATGGTTGTAAAAAACTTTGGAAGTAACACATATTCCATCATGTTTTTGTGATGAACAATTGCAAATAATTTCTTATCGATTCGTGCCAAAATGGGCACACTGCGTACTAATCTTTTCAAACGTTCCGGTCGTTTTCACATTTTAGGGCTCCAGCAATTTCAGTTTCTCAAAAGCACACAATTTTGGTTCAGGTGCTCATTTTGCATTAAAATAACAAGATTACTTTTCCGAAATATTAGCATATTCACTCCATTGTTGAATGTTTTAATACTATGTTACTACCCCAATAATGAATATTGTGAATATTCAACAAAAAGTATTTTATTGAAAGATTTATACTTTGAATACTGAAATATGACACAAATATGCCCATTATGATTCTGATACTATCTTCGGTATGATTGTCTGTTGTAGTGGAATATGATTTCGAAATGCTCGTGAAGGATTCATTGAATGATATGTTTGTCTTTTTTTTTTGCTAATACTTTCAAAGGTACAAGATGAATAGTGCAATAAGGATAATGGCCTAGCTTTAATTAGATTAGTTTTCTTTTGTAAACTTCCTTTCTGTCAATGTCTTCAGATACTTTTAATGGAAAACTTTGTGAATAGTGTTCTATGTTAAATATATTGCGTGACAAAAAAAATGTAAATAGTTATCTATCCTATAATTCCATATTGTAAAAATCTATATATGACATTTGAGTCAAATTAAAAGAATAAATTTGTACATCTGTGTTTTGTTTTATACTATAAAATCCCCGATGGTTACGAAATTGATGAGGAAATAGGTAAGGCACGATTTTTCTGTTTAGTAAAATATTAGTTTCTTCTTTTTCTGGTCATCGTATAAATCTACCACATTTATACCTGTTAATTGCCAGTATGACGACTTGCTTCTCATGGGCGTGTGATTTGTGTTAACCCCTATTGATTTTCGACATAAAACGTAGTAGTGGCTGAACATGCAACGACAGTGTCGACAGTATACCAGACGTATCTTCAGGAAGCGAGTGAAAATAACGGTATTCAAACAGCAAATTCAAGTGTATGTGTGTGTGCAAGAGCGAGTAGCAGCTGCGTTACTGATCGTTAAGGGGAGTGTGCAATTTTCCTTAGGGAAGTTAAGCTATTCGGATGATATCATTTGACAATTTTTTCACATATCTCGTACTCCACCGATGAAAATTAGTACTGCTATTTGGCTTTTCCGGGAACAATCATTTCAACTTTTCAGGAAACTTTGTACAACCTTTTCATGAACATGTTTACAAAATATGCGTAGTAGCGCGTTTTTAAACTGGCAGTTTAATATAACATCTAAAACTTATCCCGTGGTTTACATGTCGACCATGCTTGACTGGACGACAGATACGTAAAATAATATATTGTTATTGTACTGAAGATCACATTGTCAATACATGAGGTTTTATTGGCCTACAAGCACATGATATTATGGCAGTTTAATGTGATATTTTATAATACCCATATCGCATTTGAAAAAGATGATCAATGAGTGAGTGATAAATAACAAATATATTCAATACGAGTATATACATATACATGGTGTCCCGAAAAAGTTCTACCAGCGGTTTCTAGAACTTAAAATAGGAAGAAAAGTTTATATGAACATAGGTCGACAAACGTCCCCTAAGGGCGCTACGGTATAAAATTGGGTATTCTAGCCTAGTTGTTTATGCTGGATTCAAAAATATTAACAATTTTAGACAGTTTTGTTTGGAAGTGTATGTAATAGGGACGGACTGAGGTTATTTTAGCCCCAAAATTTTAGTGCGATTCTATTTTTGAAATTCAATTTTAGAATTTCAAAATTTAGGGTTTTCTACATAAAAATGGCACTCTTATTGAATATCGATAAATTGTGCCATTTTTGAATAAAATCAAACTAAAAAATTTGTCACCTGATAGGAAATGCACTGCGAATTTAAATGAATTGTTGATTATACCTAGTTAGCCATGACTGCAAAAAAAAGTTGTTTTGATTTGTTATGACTTATTTTGACGTTAAGCTGACATTGTTGGCAGTGTAAAATTACTAGATTAAAATCAAAAATTTTATTAAATCGATTCAAAATGCCAAGATTTACAGACAGAGAACTGACTTACATGCATTTTGTCTACGGGTTTTGGAATGTCAGTTCATTGGCAGCCGTAAGAGAATATCAAAGAAGATTTTTCAATCGCATAGTACCTGGACGTCGAATGTTTACCGATATTCACCGGAATTTGTCAAACCATGGATGCAGGGCTCAGGAAGGCCACTGGGAAATCATCGTATGGATATTGCTTTAAATATGTTTGAAAATAATCCGCGAATAAGCATACGAAATGTTTCAGAAATTATGGTTATACCTCGATCAATAGTAAGAAAAATTTATGAATACCTACATATATATTTGTGTGAGAAGTTGATAAGGTTTAGGATCCAAATAGAAGCGAAAATGGTATGTTGAGCTCGTTTTGTCGACAAATTATAAACAATAAGCGTTGTGTGCAAAGTGGCATTTTACTTAAGGATTTAACCTCACTGGACTATCACTTGAAATGTATGCGGCAATGGCGATAAACCGAAAAATAATGATGCAATGATGTAAGGTGTAGGTCATATAGGAGCCCTTTGTCTGGCTGTCAGCACGGTGGCCTTTTTCAAGTACACCGTGCTGGCCGAAATGTACAATAAACAGATATTACAACATGTGATTTGATTCGGCCAGACAATGAAGTCCTATGAACATGAAGACCACAGGATAAGTTCCAAGAGTTACATTAACGTGGAAGAGGATGTTACAATGCATAGTTCTGTTTTCTGTATTTACACAAACACTGGAAATCGCGGAATATATAGCATCCGTCGTATTGCTGAGAGAAACTGATGTCAATCCAGAAATTTAGAATTTTTGATTTTTGTTTTGTCCTAGATGCTTTTTTCCGTCGATCTGTCTTTTGTAGTTTTCGGATCTTGATCATTTTGAAAAAAATAGGGGTTGGGGATTGTAGGGGGGTGGGTGAGTGTATATCTCAATTTTCTGATGATAGTAGGTATATAGCCATATTTCACTCATCATAGATTTTCCCGTACATTTAAAACAGAAATGTTTTTGATATGCGTCTCCTTCTGTTATCTGAGCTCAGCGCCCGGCGTAACCCTCCGCTGGACTCTTAGGCCCGTACTGCAGCGGTGCTTTGGTGGGCGCTGCCGCGTCTGACGATATGGGAAGGTGTGGCGTTACCAGATGGATGGTAGCTGCCGGTAGGCCAGGAAAAGAATGTCTATGAACTAATTGTGTGGCCCTGTTTGAGTCGGAAGTGCGGAGTCAACTTACTTGACGCCATTTTTTTAGTTCGAATTCCATTGATATATATATATATATATATATATATATATATCCCGTTTTTCATTAGATTAGAATTATCGTCAATTGTCGGGCAAATAAGATGAAATAAAAATATTAGCATTGCCCGCCCACAATAGGCGCCCACGCCAATGCTCAACTATCTTAACATAATTATGTATCTATGTAGTCTATTGCCTGACTTTGAAATGTTTCACGACTACCGCTCGGCTCATAAATTTTTTGAGGATTGAGCTATTCACTCTAAACACATTGTCATACAAACGCAAATGAGGAGCGCTCTGCCTGCCGTCTAACAGCAGAAATCTGCCCATGTGTTCCTTAGACTTGATAGTGACAATAGAACAACTCCCCTTTTTAATTTTGGCATACAGCTGCCATTAACCACCAAACAATATATTCTTGCTGCTAACACATTGTGTGTGTTCTGCTCTGTGTACAGCTGTTTGTACACCATGTGGAAAATGTTCAACGTCTATTCCCATACGGTAGACCAGCTGTTAGTTTACTACTTATTATTAGCAATTGGTAAAAATGAAGGAAAAGCGGGATGGTGTGGTACTTTCTGGCAGATTTTAATTCATATGAGTAAGATTTGAATTGCCTTGCTAGAGGGATTTGACTATTTGGGTAAGAGCATGAGTACGCCTAGAATTTATCCCAAAATTCTACCATGGATCAACGTCAGCCACCAAGGTTTAATTTCTTGAAAGTGATCTATACGAATTGAATTCAAAGTTCGACGAGATATCCTCAGAAAGCACTGCATGAAGTCAGTTATTTCCGATGTTAATGCCTAGAGATTAGTCCACGTCGTGTGGAGGTTATCTGGTAATAAACTGGCGATTTTTTCAGAGAGTTAGGCAATCCATGTTTTGGATTACATTGTTGTATGTGTAATTACTGCTAATAGTAAAAAATGTTGTCAAGTCATCAGTTCTCAGAGGATAAAGTTCAGCACAAGTTGCAGTCAAATAGACCCATACAAATACTCCGTTGACATTCTTTCTCTGCCGTACAAGTAGTTGGAAGTATACCAACCAGTAGCATTCGCTCTGACCACACTGGAGCCGCCGGGCTTGAGGGGGGGAGATTATGGAACATGTTATCCGCATTCAGTACAAGTTTGAACTCGCTCGATTTATTTCGTTGCCCGTAGCGATTTTTTTTTGTGAAACAGTTTTTCCTATTCTAAAAATGAATGACAGCAATTTCGAGCAACTGTGTGCTACCAGGTCATACTTCAAACTTGGGCACACGGCACAGTGCAAAGGAAACTCTTGCTAAACTTCAGCAGGCCTACGGAGATAGTGTTTGATCAAGAGCCCAGGTTTTTCGGTGGTTTAAGGCATTTTCAGTAGGATTCATTGAAGATGAACCACGAAGCGAAAAACCTTCATCTTCAAGACCCAATGGAAATATCAGCAGAATTGGAGATCTTGTGCGTTCAGATCGTCGGTTAACAGTCAGAATGATAGAGGAAGAGTTAAATTTGTCGCACACCACCGTTCATCACGATAATACTTCTTGTCACACAGCAATGTCAATAAACGTTTTTTGGCCAGTCAAAACAGTCGTGTGGCTCCTCAAGCCCCTTAATCACCTGAATTGACTCCTTGTGACTTTTTTCTCCTCCCGAAGTTGAAAAATCACCTCAAGGGAACTCATTTTGGGACATTCGAAAACATTAAAACGGATGTAACCGAGCAGCTGACGGGTACTCCAGGATCGGAGATCCAGACTGCTATGAGCCAGCGCTGTGTGGCTTCAGAAGAAAGTTATTTTAAGGGTGACAATATAAAATTGTAATTATATTTGAGTAAAAAAATTAAAAAGAAAACAGTTTCATCACTTAATTTACCGACTTCGTAACTGCAGTACTCACTCAATAGGTCGGAAGAACTGCAATCTGCACCGTACATTAGAAGCAACTACTATCAAGTTACCCACGGTACATGAACAAATGGAAGTTCTCTTGTATACTAGCAATGTGTCGGGAACAATCTCCGTAAATAACGCCCCAGAAAAAAACTTGCTCCGTAAGAATGTTCACTTTGTTCCGGAAAAGATTTTTCTAAGTTTTACGGGCAAATGTACGGGTACGGTAATCTATGATGTCTAATAGGTGTGTAGAATTATCGAAGTGCATTAATATACTAACATCAAAAAATTGCAATACACCCCAAGCCCCCAGCTCCATTTGTATACTCCCAATTTTTTTTCAGAAATGACCAGGATCCTATATAACGTCAAAAAACCTATTTTAAAAAACTACAACGCATTTTCGTCCTTGGCATAGTAATAACCTTGTATGAAAATGCCATCAATTCGAATACCCAAAATCAATCGATTTTCATTTATTGAAGAACTCGTATAATAGACATTTCAAAAATATGTAAATTAAAACTTCATTTCTTTAAAGTACCTAGGACTGTGTTTAGCTGCTACTACACAATAAAAATTCTGGGAAAAATAGAATGATGGTATCGCGTCGCGGAATCGCGTTTTTAAAAATGACTTACAAGCGATTTGATACTTTATTCTGATATAAATACAATGTTTCGACTAACAACGATATGTTAGCAAACCTAACCTAAGTGAGTTCAATTGAAGAGTAATAGGATTAAAACTGATGCCTGAAGGGCAGAACCATCAATATATAACATAGGGTTGTTTACTAAGATAAGATATAAGTACACCGATTAGGAAGATATACGAGGGGCTCTCGCTATATAACTATACCCCAATTCTGTAAATTGTATATAAAACGTTATCCAATCACATTCCTTTTCCTTCATGCAAGTAACTCTAAATGTTCCTGATTTCCAAAGATTTGTAGTTTTCGCACAAACGCACGTACACAAACGATTTTAGATGGTTAATAGAATCCTGATCTTCTTAAAGTAATAAAAATAAATTGGGAGTAAACAATTAGGGGCTGGGGTTTGGGTGCGTATACGTATATCTCAATTTTTTGAAGTCAGCATATTTATATGCTCTTGGCCCTGGTGATTCTATGCACATATTAGCCGTATTCCATACATGATAGGTTTCCCCATACATTTGTCGTTAAAACATAGAATGATAGAGAAATTTATGTTTTCGTTATGCGTCTCCTGCCATATGGGCTCAGCGCCCGGCGTTACGATCTGCTTGATTGTTCTGCTGATACTGCGCCGGTGCTTCGGTGGACGCTGCTGACGATACGGGAACGGGCAACGATTCCAGATGGACGGTAACTACCGGTAGGGCAGGGAAAGAATGTCTAAAAATGAATTTAATGGTCCTGTTTGACTAACTTGAACGGTTTAATTTTCCGATGGTTCATGTTCGTAATCTTTTTTTGTCAGAGTCGTCAATATGTGCTGAACTTAATCCTCTTGCGTAGGAAATGCAGAGATAACCTACTTGACGCCATTTTTTGTCACTTTAACGTGCCCTAGCGGTCCCGTCCCCACTTTTAGGGTAAAGACAAACAGAGCTGTTTTGACCGACGCGTTTATCGAATTGGTGCCCGAGTCGTATGCTGTATAATATATCATTCGTAGTACAAAATACACACAGCGGTACGACGCGTTTCGTTTCATCCGGCGGTTTTAAAACAGCTTCGGTTTGTAGTTGATCTGAGGGATCGAGTCGGTTTGATTCAAGTGGCGCGTTGAGTCTTTCAACGTCATTAAATTACTCTGTTCACACACGTACGTGCCTCGACTCGTTTTGTATAGAAATGGAAGCACACAAAATTGATATTGAAAAGCTAATTAGCGAAGTAGAGAACCGACCGCCACTTTGGGATATGAGGAAAAAGGAATACAGCGATAGGGTTATGAGAAGAAAATGTTGGGAGGAACTAGTAAATTTGTTTGCAAAAGAAAACAGCACAATTGACGAAAAGAATCAGTTAGGTAGGTATAATAATTGTTTATAATAAGAACAAATTAACAACATTTTTTATTGGCTATTATTTAAACGGTTTTTTGTTTTACAAAATATTGAGCGCATTTTTCACTAGCAGATAATGGATTTCCTCTGTGGGCTGTATCTGGTGCTAGACCTTCAAGATTGATATTTTCATCTAACTTCTGGTCATTCGACCGAGTGCCATCCCTTGTCCTTATAAAATTAAAAAAATTAACACACAAGCAGCTTTAACTACAGTTACAGTTACATCAATATCGATGTCAATAGGTAGATGAAATATACGTCATTTGTTGGCTAGAATACCAAAACAGCATTCGATATATCTTCTGGCTCGGGTTAATCTAGCATTGGAAGTTTCTTTTAAAGGTGTCAGTTGTTTGCCTCCAAAAGGCCTAAGCAAATTTTCGGATAAGGGGAATGCCTCATCGCCAACTATTATGAAAGGATATTTTTCATTCGTTTCGTCAATAGCACATGGTGCAGGGACTCCCAATGTACCATCAACTAATCGTTCATAAAGTTTAGAATTTGTGAATATGCCAGCATCACTTGATTTACCATATGATCCCACTTCAATATACGTGAAGCAATAATTGGCATCGCACATCGCAAACAGTACCGTAGAATAGTACTGTTTATAATTGTAGTACATAGACCCACTATTGGGTGGCTGCATAGTCCGAATATGTTTCCCGTCTATTGCTCTTATACAGTTGGGAAACTGTGCACATGTTTGAAACCCTTGAGCAATTTTTATCCATTTCTCTGTTGAACATTGCGGTATAACTTTGTCTGCTAATTCAATCCATATTGCTTCGTATACTTCTTGGATAATGTTACTAGCAGTAGATCTACCAATACGAAAATTATAATGTAATTCGGCCAAAGAGCACCCCGTAGCCAAATATCTAAAATGAAAAAATTCAGTTAATTAAAACGTAATGTACGTAATTCTATTTTGTTACAGGTAATGAATTGCATAAAAAGTGGAAACATATCCGAGACAACTTTTCAAAAGATATTCATCAAAGGAAAGGAAAGTCAGGGGCTGGAGCTTATCGGAAAGCTCCTTACGTTTATACACAGAGGTTACAATTTCAATTTCTCACAGATATGATACTGCCCAGACAAACCACCAGTTCATTGGATAATGAATATTCATCCGAATTAGGTACAAATAACCCTGAAACGCCCACTTTAATCTATAAAGAAAAGTATAATTCTAAAATTGGGAAAAAAGGACACACCCGGTCGAAGAAAAAATATTACATTCACTTGAAAATTACGAAAAAAGAGCAAACAAGATGATGATTGAAGATGACAATTACATCTTTGCACTTTCCTTAGTACTTTCACTTATTGCACTGCCAAGACATTTAAATACAAAATGCAGGATTGAAATAATGCAGACTATTTCGAAATATGCAACCAGGATCGAAGCAAATCAGACATCAGTTACACCACCACCACCACATCAGCAAACGTATTCCATAACCCATTATCCCAGTCAGTCAGGACTTGTACAACATCCACAATAGCAGTATGGAGTATCTCAGAATGCCGCCAAACAACAGATAAACTCCACACTACCTCCAGCTCCTTCACCAGCTGAATCAGTTAGAAGCTATTATTCCCACTTTTCGGACGACGATTCCTAGTTTAGTATATTTAATATGAATTGAATAAATATGTTATACTCTTATGATGTATGAAAGATTGTGGAATACAAAATGAGAAATAGTTACCTAATTTATTTGCTTACCGGATAGTTATTACTAGCTTTTCTTCTGGTGTTATCGCATTTCTCATACGTGTATCTTTCTTTGCTAGTTTTTCGCCACAAACTGCTAATAACTCGTAAAAAGTACTTCTCGACATCCTAGTGAAGTTGAAAAACTTTTCTTCATCTCTTTGTACTTCAGCAAACAATGTATGAAAATGACCTTTTCGTTGCCTTTCTTCGATGATTGGATGTATCCACATTCTTCTATTCCTTTTTTTCTTTTTACTAATTTTCTAATACAAATACAGTAGCGATAAATACAATACGTCATCAATTCTACAAATCGAATGAATCACTGCATAAACCGCTGAAGAAACAGCTCAGTGTGGATTACTAGAACGCGGCCTTTACCCTAAGCCATAGTTTATAATAAGATATTGACGGAAAGATCCACCAACTGATAAATGGATTGGCAGGCAAACCGCTGAACTATAGAAATATCATCATTGGCTTCATCGAGCAAGGTGAGATAGAACTGACCCTTACGCATTTGGAAATTAAGCGACATGAGGGATTTTTTTTGGTCGAATCCAAGCCCACGTGATTTGTCGGTTTTTGCTCATTCTAATGAACATCCGTTAGCTGGGCATGATGTATGACGATTTCCTCCATTCTCAGCCCATCCAGGATGAAGGGCGGTAGGTGTGTTACGCAACGGGCGTAACCAACAACAATGGTTCGTTTATCATCAGAGTGAATCCATCCGACTGCAACTTTGCAGGCGATGTGACTCGATGCGTGGCGCAATACCACGTGTAGTTTAAGATTTAAATGTGTAATTTGAGTCGGATATCCGTCGTAGTCGCAACGATTGTATGATAATAGACTGATGTTCCCGCACGTGCTGATTTCAAACCCTTCACGTCAAGGATTTACGGACGTTAGGCAATAATCTAATTCCATGTTCAACTGTATCAGTGCTGGGTTGACGACATCCTCTTGATCGGCGAGTCAGAAGGCAACAAATCAAGTATATAGGTATAAACATGAGAAATCGAAAATTTGCGCGGTTTCAGGAAATCAGTGTATTGCCACACTGCTCATCTATCCATAGATTTTTACCTTAATGTGTGCCGGAAAATTCTGCCTGTTCTGATATCAACACTTTTGGCAGGCAAGCACATCTTCATTTAAATGTTATCTGCCTTACTCTACAACCACTGAATGTATATGTCGTAGTTTCTTAGAAAATAAGCTTTTCAACTAAGAAACCGATCCCTTAGCTAAGCGATATCAGCTGTATAGAAAATCCAACAACTTAATTTTCTAAAACGCTGAAATCGTCAGTTTCTTAGCTAAAAGCTAGGAGGAATTAGTGAAGAAGAGAAAAACTAAGAGAACAATAGGTAATCGTATCAACAGTTTATAACGTATAAGCACCTGTTAATATGTACTTCTTAATTATACAGGGTGTCCCGAAAACAGTGTGCAATATTCTACCAGCGGTTTCTAGAGCTTAAAATAGGAAGAAAAGTTTATATAAACATAGGTCGACAAACGTCCCCTAAGGGCGCTACGGTCTTTTAAAGGGGCTCCCCTGAAGATGGTTTTCCTTAATATTTCCGAAACGTGTTTAGATAAAGACATAAAATTTGGTATTCTAGCCTAGTTTTTTATGCTGGATTTAAAAATATTAACAATTTGAGTCAGTTTTGTTTGGAAGCATATGTAACAGGGACGGACTCAGGTAATTTTAGCCCCAAAATTTTTGTATGATTCTATTTTTGAAATTCAATTTTAGAATTTGAAAATTTAGGGTTTTATACATAAAAAAGGTAGGTACTCTTATTGAATATCGATAGATTGCATCATTTTTGAATAAAATCAAACTAAAAAAATTGTCACATGATATGAAATGTACTGCGAATTTACTACTTTGTGAAAAAATAAATAGCTTTTAAAAAATAATTCCTTTTTTTTTTGTACCGCCTCGTAAATGAACTATATCGAAGACGATTCGTGTTAGTGTTTAGAGTGACGCAATAGTGGCTACACATAAAGTCCATTCGCGCTAAAAATTTCAAACGGGTTAATATGAACTACCTGATAAGCTATAATGATGGTATCGCGTCGCGGAATCGCGTTTTTAAAAAACGACTTACAAGCGATTTGATACTTTATTCTAATATAAATACAATGTTTCTACTAACAACGATATGTTAGCAAACCTAACCTAAGTGAGTTCAATTGAAGAGTAATAGGATTAAACTCACTTAGGTTAGGTTTGCTAACATATCGTTGTTAGTCGAAACATTGTATTTATATTAGAATAAAGTATCAAATCGCTTGTAAGTGATTTTTTCAAAACGCGATTCCGCGACGCGATACCATCATTGGCCAGCTAGCAGTTGGATCAGAAGACTGGAACAGAACTCAGCAGAGGACTTCCAGGCTGATTTCAATCACTCACTTCTGGAACCGACGAGACCAGGAAGATCAGGACAAGCCCAAGGACGAAGATCGACGCCAGAGTGCTGTGTCTTCAAAGTCTGAAGGTCATTCAAGTCGAATTTTCCTTGTCTCTCCTCTGTCCTTTTTTTTAATTTAAGATTTTTGGTGCAGTTTTGTAAAATTTAATTTTGCTGAAGATTGCTCAAAACATCTAGTATTAAGTTAGTTCTCATTCAAGAGCTACATTTTTGAAGAGAACTTAATTTTAGTAAATTTGTCGAGAGCTACATTTTCGATTTAGATTAGTTACTATTTTTTTAAATTTTAGCCGGTTGCAAAATTATTAGTTTTAAGGAAATTTTCACATTAAAATAAGGCTTAGGTAGAATCTCATTAAATTTTATTACATTCGTATACACTTGGTATTTTCACATTTTTCATACTTTTACATTTTTAATTTTTACACATTTTTACATTTTTATACATTCGACATTTTACATTTTTACATTTTATTTTTCATTTTCTTCATTTTCTTACAAATCTTAAAAGTCTCTCAACTTTAATTTTCTCATTCGCCCAGACCATAACTTTATGCAAGATTCTAATTCGGCTCTAGATACTATTACAAATTTATTAGAAAACATGTCTCTCAACAACGCAGTGTCCGTTCCAAGTGTACATACAGGCTGCAAAAGCTATTGCAGATTTTCTGCCATATTTCGATGGTGATACCCAACAACTAGAATCATTCATCTTTAGATGCGAAAAATTTTATAATACTTATGGTAGATCAAACGATGTCAGTTTGAACGATTTCGTCTTTAATGTGATTTGTTCCAAAATAAAAAATAACGTTTACAACTTTTTAATATGTAGACCAGATCTCATTTCTTGGTCTCTAATTAAAAATGCACTTAGAGAGCATTTCGGTGACAAAATTGACAGACAAACCCTTACGAGAGAATTTCTGCAATTTTCGAAATATAGAAATGAAACTATTTTGGAATCTTTAGGAAGATTAAAATTAATTAAATCAAGAGTTGAAGTTAAAATCCAGACAGATCCTTCACTCACCCCTGATCAGAAAGTTTTACTTATCAGCCAAAACGAATTAAATGCACTAGACGTATTGACCGCAAATTGTGACGATAGACTTGGACTTTTGTTAGATTATTCAACAGCCCTCCGACTTATCAGATGCGACCAACGTAGTTACTAAACATTTCTACAATGAGATGAGAATAGATGCACTGACAAAAAGACAGAATTTCGGACATCCTAGCCACTTTCAATCACATTCACACAAACCTAGACGTTACAATTATAATAACTCATCACGCCAAAATTATTACCCATCTCAAAGACACAACCCTTCATACACTCAACCTAATACCACACATATTAATTATCAACAACCACCAGCCATACATGAACAATTTCCTTCTCAGGAGGTTCACGCTCAATATTCACTGCAAAATCATTTTACTCAGACACATCAACCTTCTTTCAATGAAAGTATCAAATCGGTTGTAAGTCGTTTTTTAAAAACGCGATTCCGCGACGCGATACCATCACTCTATGCTAGGAGCGACATTTTTTGGTCGACGAGGATACAACCAAAACATTTTAAAGTAAAACCCCTTTTTCGCAACATCAGGGAATTCATCCATCTGAACAAGCTATTTCGGAGCATATTTGGAAAAGAGGTGTGTAAATATTCGAGGTTAGTGCCACATGCGTTAAGTGAGAACAACTTGAATGGCTGGTTCATGGCATGCACATCTCTGCTTGCACGAAGCAGAATCCCATCTTTCTGTGATCGGCTAATTACAGGTGATGAAAAGTTAATCACCAATGAAAATGTATTGCGTACTGGAAAACTCCTCCATTTAAAAGCCGAATTTGTCGTTCGCTAAGAAAATGAGTGCATGAGGGGGCATCCGGGGATCAACAGACCACGAGCCAGAAACCGAAAGAACAGCTAAATGGATAGGTATTGTCAGCAGTATCTGCATAAATTTAGGACAGTACTCCAAGAAGAAAGGGAAGTGTTCATTAGAAACAACAATATGCTGGTGGATCATAATACACACAGCTTTGGAGACCCGTCAAAAAATCTTAAAGCTTGGCCGGAAAATTCAGTCACTTCACCCATAACTTAACCCTAACCTTATGCCTATCACCTATTTTTGTCGTTACACGATTTTCTGAAGGGTAAGAAATTCAATAACGGTGCTGGATCATTTTTGAAGATAACAATTTTTATGAAAATTGAATATATCTACATATTGATATCACCTTGGCAAGAATGAACATTATTATTAGAAACTTTATCCAAGATATGAAAAAAAAAATGTTTTGTTATAACCTAAAAACGGGCAGATCTTTTCGGTAGACCTAATAGGTTCACAAAACTTGTTAAAAATAAGGCAGCAGTACCTTGTATTATACCTTGGAAGAGGTTAATGTACAAATGCGCTCAAAAACTAAGGTACATCTGCTAAAAACCATATAGCACCATAAGCTGTCAACTTAGCTCGTAAGAAA